ATAGACTGAAATTATAAATAAGTGAGTCTGGTGCCTCAAAACTTGGCTCAGCAACGTGGACGAACATGGTAGGGACAATGCTGGAATACTGTGTAAATCATTGGCTGCGTAACCACGTTAAACTTAATTGGTGCTCAATTGTTTTAAAGTGTCAGTAATAAAATATATATTATCTATATTTAAATAACTGTTTTAAGTATCTGTCAAGGCTTCAATGTAGTTTTTTTATGCGGTTAGTTTTTAAATCGAGCTGATGTTTGCGTCAGCTGAGAATAAAGTACAGTATTATCTCAGCAGTGAGATACATGTAAACATCCTTATTTTTGGTATCAGAGAAAGGATTTAAAAATTAATCCAAATATTGTAAATATTTCTTGAATGCTTTTTGTGTGTACTTCGTGGTACAAATAATACCACGTTTCCGGTTTCAGAAAATAGCTTTTGAGAATCATCGGCAAATTGTATGGAAATTTTTGTCAGTGTTGTTTCATTGTGTGTACCGTTAGTTTGCGCGGGGCTGTGTTAGGATTGTCGATCCGCACTTGAATCAAATTTTACGTCGGTCCTAACCCCTAACTTTCCTTCACATTAAGGAACATCGAATTTGTTTGATCCCGTCTGTTAAACAAAATGTTTTCCCTGTTCACATTTCAGGGTGGTAGAAAGTCATCGTTATTTTATGTGCCTTAGTAAAAAACTTAGTAAAAAAACTTAGTAAAATTTACTGTTTGATTTGCCCCCTGGAAGCAATCCTAAATGGTTTTTTGGGAGGCCAAAACTTACCTTGGTGTCGCACGTGTACACAGGAAGAATTTGGGAACAGGGATTTGTTAACTAGTTTATTCCACTAAGAGTGAGTTGTTTTAGCTGTTGAAAGTTTTTAGTTCAAGGCTAAATCTCCGTCATTGTCCATGAAAGGTCAGCTATGTGATGCCAGCTGCTTGGGGCTTTTTTGTGATGTCAGTCTTTAAAGCAAATTGCTGTCTGGAAGGCCAAAGACCAATGCATATTCTAGTTGTTGATTAGCAATTTTAGGCCTTAAATACCTTTGCTTTTTTTTTTTTAACTGCAGTTACAAAACTGTAGAATTAGCATCATTGCAGACATGTCAAACCTCTTTTTGCTGTTTGACTTTTTACACAAACGTCTGATCACTGAGAATTCATCAGTCAGATGTTTAGCTTTTGAAGCACTTTGCAGGTTAACAAGAAAGCTGAAAGCTTTTCTTTTTTCTTTTTTTTTTTTTCCTTTTAGTTTTTCTCAGTATCATTTGTTAAATGTGTAGCCAGGCACCGCAGGAGGTCAGGGGAAATGAGTCCTCTCCTCAGAAATTCAACAGTTGATCTCGGCTGGGATTGCCAAGGCAGATAGCAGTCGCAGTAAGGATATTTATTCCTTATGGATAGAAAGTGCTGATTGTTTTCACAGGAAAAAACCCCATTGAGCAGACACTGGAGAACAGTTGCTCTCGGGGGACTTGAGTAGCTGTTGAGCCAAAACCCTGGAGGTGAAAGGCTGCTACCTGTTAGCGGTCCCCTGAGGAGCTCAATCCTTTTTTTTTCGTTCTTGCCTTTTGCACCCCTGTGTGCAGGCCAGATTCCTTTGCAGCCCGTGGAGTGTTTTGCTGGTGCCTGAGAATCTGCCTCTGACTGTCTGCAGCCCCGTCGATCAGAAGTGGTCAGGCCAAGGAGCTGCGAGCAGTCTCCGGCGGCCAAGAATAGTTCCCTTTCCCGGGAGATCTGCGCTCTCCCAGGTGAACCGGCATTTGCTTGTGTCCTCAAGGGCAACAGCAGCAACGCAGATCCCGGCTTCAAGAATTTCCCCATGAAATCTGCTTTGATACCTGGCTTCCTAATGTGCTTGACCGTCTTATTAGTTGCGTACTCTTGTCTGAGAATAACGCATATACGCTAGCTTTTCTTGCCTTTTTTTTTTCCTGCTGGAATTCAATATTGAAATTGGATTTTCATTGTTTCTCAGCAAATGTTTTCTAATCTTTAAAAATCTGACTTGTGAAATAATAACAGTGAAATTGTGATTTAAATGTAAAATCAAATACTGAAATTATCTAATCTCCAGTACAGATAAATATAAAAGGGAAAACTGATAGCATCTTTGGTGTGTGTACAGCTCCTAATGCATTTGAACTTTGGGCAGTGCTGAAATTCAGCCTGTGGTAATGATGAGATGTAAGATTTTTGAGAAGTCTCCTTGAACTTTGTTTTGACATGCCAGACCTGTAGAGTTCATATTTTGCCACCTACTTTTCTGAGGAGGGAAGAAGAAAACTAGTGTAAACTCTCCTACTTCAATAATATCTTTTGTTATTAGAATATCATATTGCAGGGCATTGCACTGTTATACATTATTAGCGGGCAGGATATTGAGAATACAGAAGTAAACTTGTAAGTATTGCATATCTTGCTGATATTTGCATGTGTTTTGGTTAAGGTTGTACGTCTTGCCTACCAAGACTCTCGCTCCTCAAGAGAAATCACTGAGTCCTCTGCAGTGGTGCAGGCGTGTTCTGGATCATCCAAGTCCTGAGATAGAGGCTGCAAAACGTTCCTTATGCTTTAGATTGGAACAAGGTAATCTTATTCTTTGAATTTCTTTACTAGTAAGTTGGCACTTTTGGTCTGGCATTTCACCCATGTGTTGTGTTTTTCACAATTTAGCAAGCTTTGTGAATGGCAGACATGCCTTTTTTTCCTGTGTACGCAAGTCTTCCTCCACTACGTAAATGCTGATAATTGTTTGGGGTTTTTTTCTGATCATGCATTTTTTAGTGTTCTTCTCCTTCATAACCCTTTTCTTCCCCTGCATAACTCGTGATTTTTAAACTTGGCAGTTTTCATCCGTTGCTTAAAATAGTGGACCTCTTGGCAAGAAAACTTCGATGCTAACTTTACTATTGGTATCTCTATTGAGTTTTGAAAAACAGTGCTTTTGGTTTTTTGTAAAGCCAAATTATCACGGTGCTATAAATTTTTAAAGGCATATTTGTCCACATCTAACGTAGTATCGGGACTTTGTTAAGTATTGGACAGACCAAGAAGAGCTGTAACTTGACTGCTAGCACTGCTTTGTTGGGCTCTCAGGAGCCTCAAGTACTGGGATCAATCTGATGCCTGTTTGGTGCCAGTGAACTTGTAGAGTTATATCTGGGTGTGCTGAATTTTGTTCTAAATAAATATCAGCCACCATTATTTTTACTTTTTTACCATTTAGAGTCCCATTAAGATTGTAGTAAGTGTTGTTGAAGAGAGTGATTAAGGTAGGAAATACTATCTTAAGATTTGTAACTCAGTAGGAAAGAAAATGCAAATGAACAACGTAGGAAGACGACAGGAGAAAGATATAAAGCTAATGTGAGCATATGGTATGTAAGCTAGCTACAGCTGTCATTAAGAGAGATTGAGCGGGTACCTATATGCTTTGGAGGATATGGGTAGTTGTGGATTAGTCTTATCCAAAATCGGGCATTTAGCTGAATAAGTCTCTGAAGGCATCTGTCTCTTTGCATTGACTATAAAAGGTCCTACAATGGTTATTGTCCTAGCAATGCACAGTTGAGCTCGTTTGCCTGAAGTTAGATGGACCAAACTGGTTCCTATGTTGGTAATCATCCCACCTAGCTTTAGGGTAGAATTTGGCTCACGATTTGGACACCTGAGTTTAGACGTCTGTTGTGTGAGCTGGGTGTCCACGCTTGGCAGTCAATAGGAGTTTTGTCCATAGAGTCAGAGGAATCAGGGGAGCTGCTCAGGTGACGAGGTGTAGGTGTTGGCCTTAGGATGAAGTCAATAGCTCTCTCGAGTCCACTGACAGTAATGGGTGCTTGGCACTCAACTCCCATCTGGTCACCTGAAGGTACATCTGTGTGGTGTAGGGTGTCCCAGTTTGGCACTGAATCCCAGTGTAGAGGCTCCATTGAGATTGCCCCACGTAAAGCCATTCGAGATGTTCTCGGTTACCCTGGCTGACCTCCAGCTTCCACTCAGGACGGAAACAGACCTTCCATACGTTCTGTGCCCTATCTGCCATTCCTTTGGATGATATCTTGGCCTCCCAAGGGCCTCTGAGATGGGCCAGTGCACCTAGACATGGGCAACTGAATCAAGTCCATAATGTGAATGTAGAAACAAGCCAGAGGAATGCATGACCTATTTTTCCCTTACAAGGTATTATTTAAATTTAATAGGCAATAAAGACATTAGAAAGGCAAATTTATTGTTTCAAATTTAAATCACTCTATGGTTATCAGTTCAATCTCTCTGTGCAGAAGTCACAGTGAATGATGTATGTCACATAGAGTTATGTTGACAATGAGTTGTTTTGATCCATATGTTCTGCTCATGGTAGTGGGTTCATGAATTTCCTGGACTCTGTAGAAAGTTTCTGAGAAATTATATGCCATGTACGAAACTCATTATGGGAGCAGTATGTTCAAGGACAGAATGGACTTGTGTTTCTACTGCAGCAATTCTATGCTAAAATTGTTTTAATTAATAATTCAGTTAGACTTGATTAACTCTCGTTTTTCTGAAGATTTTCTTTTTATCACCTATACCTTTACAAATAATATGTAATAAGCAAATGTCATATTTCTTCCCTAACTTTGTAGAAGTTAGTTTCACAATATTTATTTCTTCTTCAGTTTTGAAACCAGGTGTGAGATTGTTGTAAGAATCTAATCATTCTGTTTTAAAGTACAACAAACTTTCTGTAATCTGACTTTCCTGGGTTTTGTTTTGCAGTCCACTCTATCAGTAAGTATATGTGTATAAATATGTATACATAATTTTATCCTAATTTTAAAAGTGACTCAGTAAGAGTCGTCTTTTCTGGTATTAAAGTTTCAAACTTTGAACTTGTCAGTTGAACAGCGTTTTCCCCCTTTAGCCATATGCCTTGAAAGGGCATTTTAGAGGGATTTTGAAATCTAGTCGTGTCTTTTTCTGTTTGGCAGTGAGCCGATGGTGACACTGTGCTTGAGAGTTATTAAATGTGTAGTCAAAAAACATTTGTAATGTACCAATCTGTGATTTCTGAAATGGCTTATAGGTAGAATTCGCTTAGTAATTTTGTCCATGGTGCATTAGCCAAAAATTAATCCAGCTTAGATTGTCATAGCTCTTTAGGCACTATAGTACGCATAGAAATAAAAAGCAGTAAAAATTGATTTTTGTCTGCAGAGTCAGCGTATCTGAATGAACGCACACAGAGAGAAGAGCTGTGAGCCAAAAGAAGTAAAATTTTGTCAGGCTGTTTTTCTGACTTTTGACTAATTCCTGCTCTCTTCTCTGATTTTTAAATCTGTGGTCATTCATTCAAAAAACTACATTGTATCCTTATTTTCATAAAAGTATTTGTTTGTTGTCTGAAATATCCCAGCGTTAGCTCATAACAAGGCTAAAGGTCTTGTGAGGCACTTCTGCTAAAGCAATCCTAGGCAATGAAGTAACACAATGACTACTTGGTCTTTCAGGCTGGAGAATCACTCAACTGATGCTAGTTTACCTTTCACCCTGTTGTGCTCACCAGCCTGTTTCTTTTCTAGTGAAAATGACCGTTTTAAGTATTTCATGGTGGAAGTAAGATTTCATCTTGGCATAAATCTTTAAGGGTATAAGCACAGTGGTGGTCTCCAGCAGGTGGTTCTTCTGTGAACCACAGTGAGAACATGGACAAGCTTCTCAACGTTCCTCTGGTCTACCACTATGTAGGTAAAGCTTTTACCGAGTTTATAATGAACTAGGGTTATTACGAGCCCTGTTTCTGTGGATTAGGCATGCTAGCTTTAAGGAAGATGAAGGTTAAATGTAACCTCCTATAAGATCTTTGCTTGGAATTGTTCCTGTTTTCCGTGAGCAATTCTACTGTTGAGATAATATTTGATTGTTGTTTTTTCTCTATGGCCTGACCTGGATCACTTCTTTATTTTTGCTCTTTTTCAATCATCTTTTGTTTGAAACCTTTCTGGTTTGTTTTGTTTACAGCAGTTCTCTGTCTATTGTAGGGTCAGTTCCCTCTCCCTTCGGTTTTTAATTTTCCTTAGATGCATTCAGATCAACAGGGCCACGTCACAGTCTTAACAGTGTGGTGGACCTTCTTCTGTATTTTCTTGGTAGTACTTGGAGATGTTGGGAACATGTCAGTATTAAGTCCAGTGAGCAGAGTGATGCAATGTGTAAACTTCCTAGCTGGTGCAGAGATCAATGAGGTGGTGTTGATTGACACCCTGGCTGCAGATACCGTGTATAGCTTCGCTTCTGTAAAATGCTCTGGAGGAGGCGGGTGGATAGACTGAGGAGTTAAGAGGCTTAGCAAGCAGTCAGTCTGTAGGAGCTCAGCCTTTATGCAGGGCTTCAAAGCATATCTCATCCAATTCAGCCTTCCAGACAGAAAACTCCTCTTTCTTGGAGAGTATGAAGTATTGGCTAGATTCAGAGTTTGGCTTAGATGAGTTCTTATTCAGAAATGCTGCTTCAGGTGCTTAAAAAGAGTAGGCAACAGAAGTCTGTAGGTTTTGCAATTGGCTGCGGTAATTTATAGTCTTAAGATTAAACTCTGCTTCCTTTCTTAAAATGAATAATGTGCTTCAGGATGAATGCTGTTATGTCATCTGTGGATGATAAGGTATGTTGTGAAACAGATCCATTGTAGTTTCTCTCCAATTGCTTATGATTTCACAAAACCGAAGAATCTCATCAGTGAAATTTTAGCTTTTGTTGTGCTGGATCACAATGTCACATGTCAGTTAGGTCTGATGTCGAAACATATAGCATATCCAGAAGAAAAACTGTGTGTGTGTGTGGAAGATTTAATTTGACAGTACTATATTCTTTTTACCTGTAAAAAAACCTCTTAGAGCTGGTAGGGCCCCAGGCAGAAGGTTTTTACCTGGATGTGACACTTGCTTACACAGAAAGAGGCCAGGTTCTGTCCCATTCTCCTAATTCACTTCCCCTTCCCAAGGGTTCATAGTGAAGTCATTTAGTTTGGAATCTTTATGATATAAAATACATCTCATCAACTAAGAATTGCTGTCATAGGGAACTTCTACACTGTAGTCTGTTAACAGCAGAAGCAAACAGAAAATACTGTAAATGGACTAAAGCTTTTATTTTGTATGCTTGAGCTGGATCCAGTGCAGGGTGGGATTTTTTTATTGTTCTAAAATAGGTTTAAGTTTATTTGCTGTCCATTGATACATCAGAGATGTATGTTCTAGCACTCGGGACTGGATTAATAAGATTTGATACATCTTTCTCATCCTTATTTTTCACATGTAATGGAGATTAAAGTTTTATGTAAAATGCTTTTGGGGTAGCAAGTGATAATATGCTGAAGCTTGCAGATGATTGCATTGTTGTTTCCATCATAAATAATAACATTGCTAAAGCTCTAGAAGGAATGAAAAGTGGCACAACTGATTTGGTTCCTTTTGGTATATATTTCTGATATTAAAAGGTGATGAGCAACAGTAACTCCTATCAGCATCTGAGCACCTTTCAGGGAATGTGACATCTTGGACGACAGGATGCATAGCAGTCTTCTGCTGCAGTACAAGCATAGCGTTCAGAGC